GGAAAGTTAGTCAATCTGCACAAGATGCAAGAGGAAATCTGCAGTTTGGATTACAAAACAAGGCTCCTCTTCCTGAATCAGGCACAAATTTTTGTAGTCAGATCTCTCAAGAAGGTACAAGAGACCATGAAGACAAGCAAGCTGTGTTAGAGGCAGAAGATACATCTACAGCTGTGCTGGAAAATGACATGCTCTGTATTTCTAGTGTTTGCTCACTTGTTGAAGGTGATAAGTTTTATAACCCACAAATAGCAGGCATGTTCAAATCAGTCTATGAGACACTGGAATCAGAAGGAAATGCATCTGGTACAAAGCAAAAGGAACAACATTCGGACTTGAATAAAACTGAGCTGAGCAATAACACTGCCCAAAGAGAGAGCTTGCTGCTAAAGATGTTGGAAGAATCATCAAGTCATTTGGAGAAGGAAAGCAGTGGCAATCCTCCTAAAGCAGTTCCTACCTCTGAACAAAACACGTCATTCAAGACATCTTCCAAGCATCCTGAAAATTCCTTAGAAAGTCCTCCTAATACAAAACAAAAGTTAGCTCAAAATTCACTGGATTCCTCTATCAGCATAACTGCTAAAACAAATGCACCCACTGTTCCAGGAGACTGCAGTAAACAAAATTCCACGCCCAGTAAAAATAGTACGGAAAAGGAGGTGAACTTCCTTGGAGCAAAACCTAGTAAATATCTAAAAGATCAGCTGCTTGCTCTAGTGAAAGAGTTTCCATATGGCATTGAAGGTGTTGATATGCTAACAAAAGAAGCAGCACAAAATCGTTCAGTGGCTGAAGGGGCAGAGAATCAGTCTCAAAAAGAGGTTAAAATTTGTGACAAGAATTCTCATTTGAAGGACCCAGTAAATCAGACTAAAATTGCAGTGTTAAGATCTGATCAGGTTCAAGAACTGTCTCCTGTGCACAACCAGTGTCCCTATAGTGACAGCAAGAGAGAAGTGAGGCAACAGTCAGAAAAGGCTTCAGCTGACAAGAACAACCTTGAAAGCAGTGTCCAGCCTAGTCAGGATCTATGTGAGAAGGAAAAAACCCCACAAGAAACTTCTAACCCCAGTGAAAAAAATGAAGATGGCTCTTTATCAGGGGGTGTATCTGTAGCATATAAAATACCACATTGTCCCTCTCAGTTAGAAACATCTGGTTCAGACAAAAATGATTGTCAACTTTCAAAAGCTGAAAATACTGACTCTGCAGAGACAGAAGAAAGCAACAGTCAATCTGATGCCTTGAAAAAGGGAAACTGTATAGTGGGAGGAGACCTGACAATATCTGAAAAAATCCCAGACAATATTAGCAAAAATAAAGATACTTGCAAATACACCTCTGAAATGAGCAAGAAACCTAGGCTGAAGGTGGATGATGAATACAAACTGCCTACAACAAGGCAGGAAAAAATTGGACCAGTTAATTCTTTTGAAAACCAGGATGCTGATAAATGCAAAAGCGGCAGTTTGAAGGAACATCTGCAAATTGACAAAGGAACCCAAGTGTCAAGTAAAGAATTGAATTCTTTCAAAAAAGAGCACCAGACAGCTTCTGAAGAGTTACCAGAAAAAACTGATCATACATATGCAGACAACATGGCGAAGTTGCCTGTAAAGAAGGAGGGAGTTTTCAAAACTGAGTCCCTTTCAAAAGATACAACCAAACCAAGCCTGACCATGAAATCCAAAACAGACATTAATCAAACTGTGAAGTCAGAAACTGTTGAAATTAAGCAATCGGAAGTCAGTCAAGGACTAAAAAAAACAACTTGTGAAGAGAACTCCGCTGAAGAACAAAGCTGCAGGGAACAAAAGGAAGTGCTTAGGCAAGACGTAGGAATTAGTGTCAAAGAGCAAGCAAAATTGCCAGCAGAAATAAAACATAAAAAATTGAATAGTTATCGAGCTGATGCTGTAAAATTCTCCGATAGTAGCACTGTAGACTTCAAATCAAGACACACAAAATATTCTCAGCATAAATCTCTGAAAGTTCATTCTTTGCAAGAGCAGTCATACAAACGGAAGATGAAGGAAAATATGGTTGGGAAGAGAGAATTTAAGAAAGCAAAGCTGGAAGAGGAAGGACTGAAACAATCCGAAGGAAAGAGTTCTAAGCAGCTTGCACACAATTGTTTGCTAAATGCTGACAAAGCTAAAAAACTGAATGGAGAAAATGGTTGGAAGCCAAGGAGTTCCTTAGCAGATTGCTCTGTGCTTAAACTGCAGAGAAAAAGGGCTCGATCTTCTAGCATGTCTAAAAACTTCTTTTCTAGCAAAGAAAGACATCTCGATGGTCAAAATAAAGACAAGTGCTCTGAGAAAATGTTTCCTGATAAAAATCTTCTCTACCTAAACAGAAGAAATAACAGACTAAAGCTGCATCTTCAAAAGGAACCCAAAAAACACTACCTGAACAGAGTGGCATTTAAACGTACAGCACAGGAGCGCATCTCTCTGACAAAATTGGAGACATCACCTGTCAGACCTGTCTGGCATAGAACCACCAAAATGTCACAAGGCAGCAGCTCAAAAAAAGATGTGTCTGTCTCGACAGTTGAGAAATCATGCAAACAGGAAGTCCTTGAGTTCAAGCTGTATCCAGAGATACTGTTCAGAAATCCGGCCCCTGGCGAAGAAAGCTTAGCTGCAAAGAATTCTCCAGAAAGAGATAAAGTCGTTGTAGAAGGTATGATGGTCTCTTAAATATTAATTTGTAAGTAAAAACTATGTATTCATTTTAAAATTCATGTTGCACAAAGCTACAGACAGTGAAAACATGGGACTGTGGAGGCTGAAAGCTGAGATATCCTAACTTGCTCTCTGATAGACCACAGGTGTGTCTTCAGCTGAAAAAGAACATGGGAGTTTTCCTTCAATTATCTGTAAGTCTTAGAGAATGAAATTAGAATACTTTAGAGCATGGCAGTTTCAAGTAACTTTGGGAGGCAGCTTTCTAAAGTACTTGTAGAAGTTAGCTTGGCTTGGTTGTAGAAAGTAGATTCCCTTGGCGTAGTGAGGGTGATCTGATCAAAGGTGATCTGGTCTGTGTTCACTGTTCTCCTGCTTGTGCATCAGTCTGGCTGGGCAGAGGGGGAGCGATCTTTGTGACATTGAGGAATAGAGTGGGCTTAGGGCAGACGTATTCTGCCCATAGTCCCCATAATCTTTGCCATCTTTGCTTCAAGCATCCATTTTTCCTTCTCTTCCTTAGCCCCCTTTTCAACGTTTTACATGGTGCATTCTGAAGCATATTTATGTCAAATGTTGTATTTTATTTTTCTTAAGCTGTATATATCAGCGCTTGGAGTAATTTTCATACCCAAAGGAAATTTTCTTTTGCGTGTGCTAATATCTGTTAGAATTTAATGCTGAATAGAGGACAAAACTTGTGACAAAGGAACCTCAGAAACATTTTTTTGAAAATTTTATTTTTAGGTGTCAAGAGTAAAAAAGAAGATTGGTTAAAATGTGAACCAGTGAAGCAAAAGAAACTGGAAGAGATCTCTACAGGTGAAGTGACTTCTGAATGTCCCATTTGAAATACAAGTTAAATCCTCTTTGCGTGGTTTAAATGTTCCTTTACAGTAGTAAACCTTAATAAAGCATTTAAAATTATTATTTACTCATTCTCCTGATTAAATGGATACCATAGAATAGACTTACAAGTCTCAAAGATTTGTATAGCTTTTTATTGCTTTATGAATATGTTGTTGGAAATGTTGAGATTTTCCTGTGCCATTAACTTGGATGTAGCACTAGTAACATTGAAATACAGTTTTCAATTGTATATAAAGACTCTTTCATGCTTTAAAATATAGAAAGTCATGTAGCAGAACCTAGTACAAAAACAGAAAGTGATTTTTAAAATAAATCTGGCTTTCACAGTATGTTGCTGATGTCCACACATACCACCTGTGCTCACAAGTTCCGGGATCTGTGTGTTCCAGTAGTCTGGAAAAAATAATCTGTATGATACCCAGAGGAAAAGTGGGGCCACTATTACATCTTCCTCATTTCTCTTGAATGGCAAATTGCTTTTTGGATGGTCTTTTATACCCTCTAGGAATCAACTGTCACAACAGTGGCAACTTTCATCTCAGGATCTTGTTTGTTCCATCCTTTGTAAATCTTGGGGTGAGGTTGCTCCCAGCTGTCCTTGTTTCTTTGCTTTAGGTACCTCTCTAGCTCTCATTTTGTTTTTCTTGTGGTCTAACAGGAAACAGAATGCATTCTGTAGCCTTGTTGCTGTCTGCTTCTTCGCTTTAGAACAGAGGGCTTGCATGTGGTACTTGTGTTGTGGTGTTGCAAGTAACATCGTTTGCAACCTTTGCATCTTTTGTTGCTGTTGCCTGTGTCCTTGGGCTTTGGTATCTGCCATCATTTTGGCCCTTCCTCTTGCTTCTTCTCTTCCTTTCACAAATGCATGTTTCCTGTCATACCTTTCTTAATATCTCCAGAAATCACTCCCGTGAAGACACCCAAATAGCCATTTTGTGCTTAAAGATGCATTGGAGATTGTTTTAAATCTGAAGTGCCTGGTGCTTTAGGATGGAAGTTTGTGGCATCCTTTTTGACACTGGAAGGTCTTAGGTACCACATGTATAAGGAGTGGAGTCCTTTGAGACTCTTGCTTTAACGTGCTTGTCTGTCTTGCAGCTGAGGACAGTATTCCCCTTGATACAGCTATACAGATCCTGGAAGGAGATGGAGAGACTCTTCACATTCCTGTCAAAGACTCAAAAGAGATTTTTCAGACCTACAGGAAAATGTATCTGGAAAAAAAGATGCAAAAATCTTGATAGGACTCCTGTATCAAAGGTCTCACTATCACTAAGAAAAAAATGCCAACACTAAAATGATTTTTTTTCTGTTTACTTCATGTTGCTGAATAATTGTAAAAGCCCACAGTTTTCTGGTGGGTGTTGAAAATTTCCTTCCCCTGTTCCTCATATCTGTGAATAATTACCATCTTATTCTGTATTTATTGTCCAGATATTCTTTGGTGCTGTAAATGCTGTTTTAAACGTATTGCTTCTTTTGCCTTTTTTCTTTTTTTTTTTTTTATAAAGATAGAATAGCTCATTGAATCTTGACCAAAAAATAACAAACTCATTTAAACTGTCATAGCCTGTTTTCTTTCCTGATTCTCAAAAACATCTACTTATTATACTTTCCATTGCTGGCAGTGGAAAAATACTTCTGCTGCAAAGGGACTGCAGTGGATTCCCTAGCATTACACTTCTGTTTCCCACGTAGGGTAGTCTGATGGTTTTGCTTCTGTTTCTGTAGAAACTTTTTTTTCTAAACTGGGATTAGAAATACAAACCCCTCAATGCAAGCATACAGATCAGGGGCATTTATGAAGTATTCATGCTGCTACCCAGTTTTGTTAAATTTCTTTTTGTGGAGCTTGGATGAACGGAACTTTGAGTTCATAGTTTGAACACAGTGCTGCAGACTGTTAGTTTACTGGAGACTTCTCTTGCTTTTCTCGTTCTCTTTCTTTGCCACTTCTATTGTTGAAGTGCAGGGAGTTCGAATTTACTCTTGTCTGGATTATGTTGCTGAGTTCAGCTAGACTGTGATTAATTTTTTTGTTTATAAAGTGTTAGATTATGTTTGCTTACACATTCACTGTGACATAACAGTTGTATTTGTCATTAGCTGTCTTTTGTTTAAGTGCCTTTTCACTGTTACTCAAAATTTAAAATCAAATCGTATTTTTACAGAGATTTGGTACTTGATTCTTTCTATCTTATTAAACCTTTATGCTGAACAAAAACCCTGTAGATACCTTACTGAACAGTTTTTATACTTGAAATAAACTTTTGAGGACTACACCTTGTCTTTTTTTTCCTAAAAATATGAAGTTGTGCTTACTGCAGTTAGTTAAATAGGAATTGAAGATACTCCTGCAGATGAAATGCAGCTTTAAAATAAATGATGGATCTTCCTTGTTAAAAGGAAGTAGTTGCAAGTTTATTAGTTTCTCTCTCTGGATGCCAAACTAAGTCTATGGGGAATGTTGCCACTGGAGGATTTTGTAGTAATGTTGTCAACTCTGAAAAGGTTTTTTATTTTCTTGAGAGTTTAGTTACCTGTATTATACTGCCTGCATGAAAGAAGATTTATTGCAGCCTTAAGTGTACCCAGTACAAACAAAACAGAATTCCTGTCAGGAATCTGAGTTTTGTTCTGCACAATGATACATGAAGCTGACATAAATGCTTGAGTGAATGCTTTTCAATAGAAAATTATTTGATCCAGTGACCCATGATGTTTATGTTCTAAATATTTGGAGAAGTTGTCTCACTGATCTTGTGCATCCAATAAGCAAGAATGCCAGTTTTGAGTCCCAGTGGATGATGCAGCTGTGTCTCCTTCCTCTCTTGTACAAGAAGTGCAGCTTGGCTCTGGGACAATATTTACATTGTGACAGCGTGACATTGTGACTTGTGCCTGCTCTGATTTGGTATGGCTGGGATCTTTGGGATAGACTTTTTGCTGATATTGGAATCTCTGGTAAATTGCTGTGGCTCATAAGTTGGCCACTATCCATTCAGACAGCTGCTGGAAGGAAAACATCTGTAAGGAGCAGTGGTAGGGCTGCAAGGAGTACCTACAGAGAAAAGCCTGGAGACCATCTGCTCCACAGGATGAGCACTGTGGATATGTGCACAAATGTCACATGTAAACACCAGACTTTACCGTGGTCCTGCTGGCTTGACAGACAGATACAGAGCAGATACAACTGTCTCTAACACTGCCTGTTTCACCTGTGGGCATCTCCAGCAACTACAAGATAAATGGGCAGTCACAGGAGCCAACAAGAAAAACTTTCCATAGGGAAGCCTGATGCTGCTGCTCAGCATTTCTGCTCTTCATCTCATGCAGCTAACTAACTGTGGTTGAACCTGTTCTGATGTGCAAGTACATCCAATGCAAATTTCTCCCCTGATAAGACCGTAAACAACTACAGACAAGATGCATGAGTCCCTAAACCTTAAATTTTAATGGTTGAACCTGTTCTGATGCATGAGTCCCTAAACCTTAAATTTTAAAACATTATGACAAAAATATAGATTTTATAGAAAGAGTGTGGGAAAGAGAGCACAGGAGGAAATTGACGTGTTTAATATTTGGAAGTGGCTATTCAATACACACTGTAAATTATTAAGGTTTAATGGTTCTGTGAACTTCACTGGTTTTGTGGACTTGTACTCATTTAGTGCTGTGATGACAAGTTTCCATACACAGCATAGTCTCTGGGGGTTAGAAAGTGCAGTAAGATGAGAAGCCCCACTGCTGCCTGGGAGGGAGGCACTCTTCTGGGTTAGTGCAAGGGGCTTTCAGCTATTCTGTACTCCTGGGAGGCTTTGTGGCAAGGGAGATAAGAAACTGCAGAGAGCTGTTCCACAGTGTTTTGATGAGAACCTCACTCACTCCATTGTTCTGTGTGATGGGAACAGGAGAAGGGCCAAATCTATAGTTAATGAGGATTAGACATGGATGCTATCTATACCTGCAAGTACTCTTTTCTGTGTGAAGCTGGTCAGAGGTCTTCCTGGGATTCCAGCGGAAGAAATCCCTTTGTCTTTTTGTAGCCCTGCTCTGTCCATTGCCTCAATGAATGAACTGAGTGTATTGCACCCTGCAGTGATTGCAAGAGGGGGAGGAGAGGTGCCTGGGGTGATGGAGAGACGCTGGACCTGGAATGGGGGAAGGAAAAGGGTTACCTGTGCATGTTTTTTTTTTTTAAAGAAAAATCCAAATCACTACTCAAATGTTTTTAATAATTGGAAATTAATTAACTTAAAAATTCCTTGAGACAAGTCTCATCCTGTAGCAGGATGCTCTGCCTGGACTGGGAGTAAAACAACTCAAACCTATTTGGAGAGCTGTCAGTGGTGAATGCAGAACAGGGTGTCGCATTGCTTCCCCCCAAAAATGAGCTTAAGCACCAGTACCAAAGTAAGTATAGCTACTTGCCTTACTTGGGAGACTTAGTCTATGTATTCATGATAAGATACAGAAGGGGCATTCTGTTCTGAAATAACTGTTCTCCTGTCCTGGCCTCTGTTACTCCCGTAGCCCTTTCAACAGGGACAGGTTTCTGTTAAAAGCTTGGTGACAGGGTGGATTAGCTGTCATCTCCCAGAGAGTGGCCACCTGTTAGCAAGGTCTAACACAGACTTGATTTCCAGCAGTTGTTGTTAGCTCCTAATTCTTTGTCCTTTTTGTGTCATGTCCTTCTTCATTTGTTTATCATCATCTGAGTCAATCTCAATGCTTGAAAATTAATTGCTGAAGGAGCCAATCTGGGTTTCTCTAGAGGAGTTGACTGATTCCTGCACTCCCAGCTTTTATTTAGGAGTCAGCCATGAATGTGGCAATGGGCTTCTTTCCCTGATAGATCAATACTGTGGCCTGTGGAAGATACATATATTTTTTTTTTTCCCCAGAGGCTCATTAAAATAATTATTAAACTGAAATTTGTTATTAAAAATAGCCTCTGCACTCATCCAAGAGGTTTTTGATAGAGCCTCTGAATCCAGAAGCACAGATGCAGAGAAGAAAAGCTGTTCTGGAGCGTGGTTTGTAAACTGTTATACTGAATGTTTAAAGTTGCATTTCTCTTTTCTGCTGCACGTCAGTGGCCTCATATCCTTTGTTTACAACTTCTGACAAATCCTTTTCCCTTCTCTCATTTTTTGTAAGAGAAGCTGCAGGCAGTGGAGGGTCACAGAAAAGGGGCCACTGAGCTGAGACGGGCCAGTGACAAAATTGCCAAAGCAGCACAAACATATTTATCATTTCTTCTGTAGGACAGAAACTGGCCAAATCACAGACTTACTATACCTGCAAAACAGTGAGAGAATTGCTGACCTGGAGATAATATATTTAGCTAATTGCTGATTTAACATCTGGTAAGCCCATAGGGTTGATGTTGCAAAATCCCAGTGCTTGAACCAGCTGCAGAGCGAGAGAGAAGAGGTCAGTTGTCTCTGGGTGACCCTGGGGAGCTGACTCCTCAGGAAGGCAGCTGTGGGATGTGGATGGAATGGTGGGCTGCCCCTGGGACAGGCTCAGAGCTGACTCCCCAGGAATGAGGAGCAATCTGGCTCCATAAATGAGCAAGTATAGAAGGTCTCAGGTCACTACAACCTAGAGGATGAAAGGAAAAATCAATTATCAATAGGTAGGCTTAGCAAAATAGGATCAGCATCAGATAGCAAAATAGGATAGCATCAGAGAATCCCACTGTCTGTGAATCCACAGCTACAAACACCTCCACAGCACCTTGACACATGAGGTGGGACACCCCTCATGAGCTTGGACCCAACAGCTGCATCTTGCAGACCCTCTTGAACTGGAAGAGCTCAGGATTTTGGGGTGCTTGTCATACTCCACTTTGCTAATATTTATCATACCCACACACTGCTAGGTTTATCATAGTTCCATAATTGTTAGGTTTAGGCAAACATAGCTGGCATAATTTTGTTTTCCTTGTGTTTGTAGTACTTGAATTTATCTGGCAATTTTTCAGAGCAGGAGCCTACAAGCTGTGGGGCTGGAGCCTGGAGAGGCAGAGTCACTGTTCACCTACAGACACCCTGTGTGCTCAGCCTGTAGAGCTGTCTTTGAAGCCTGGAGGGGTATCAGAGGGCACTTACATCACTCATAATAAATCTCTAAGGGCATTTATTCTGTCCTGCCCACACAAGAAACTTATTTCTACTCTAATTTAAGGAAAAGGAAAATACATTCTCCTAAAGGAAAGGGAAATACATTCTGCAGCCACTGCGCTGGGGAAATAGCTTGCCTGGGAATTGCAATAACCCAAAGAAAAGGGCATTGTTGTATTAAAGGTTTAAAATTTTGAGAAGAAAATTATTGTAAAAGGAGGATTCAGAAAAGAGATGTCCCAAGAGAACTGGGTGAGAAAAGGCAGAAAGTGTACAGGAAAAAAAAAATTTAAGCTGCAGTTACGTTCAGTGAAATTACAGAGTAGTATTAAACTGGGCTCTGGCTATCACCACTAAATCCACTAGATGACAGTGTGGAGACTGCATTCAGCACTACAGCAACATCTGTCTGTTCTTTAAGGGCTTGCCATTTTCTCACTGCTAGAAACCCAAAGTTTGCAGTGTGCCTCTGCTCCCAGCCAGGGGCTTCACCCCTGTCAGCAGAGAGAAGGTTGTCTTGGTCAGTACTATAACACTGGCATGAAAGAATTGATCGTCATTTCTCTGGCACTGGCTGTTTTTTCCAAAGCCTAAAGGTCTGGGGACTTGGATTTGGGCAGTGGTAGTGGAAAGTGGTCTGAAGGATAGAGGGACACCTGCCATCTCTGTGCTGTGCCTTGCAACCAGGCATGGAGGGGACAGACTTTTTAGCAGAGCTTGTTGTGACATGACAAGGGGCAATAGACTTAAAATAGGAAAGGGTAGATTCAGACAAGATAAAAGGAAAAGGTAAGGGTGTTTGCATAGGCTCCCCAAAGAGCTAGTGAATGCCCCATCCTTGGAAACATTCAGGGTCAGGTTGGATGGGGCTGAGCCTCCTGGTCTTCATGTGGTGCCTAGCCAGGGCAGGAATGTTGTGGGGGGCACACACTGGTCAGAGGGCACTAAACCATCCCACTGCCAGCAGTGAGGCTCAGCTGATCAGCCCTTCCCTTCTGCTGGGTCTCTCCCCTATTAAAAAAGATGACTTAGTTTGAGAGACATGAAATATTAATCTGTTGTGCCATTTATTCTAGTGCAGCTTACCATGCACTGGAATCCCAAAGTGCCCTGAATTTTGTCTTAGCCTCTTACAGATGCCTTGAAACTGGCATTTGGCAGTTGTCCTGGTGATTTTATAACACCCAGGGTTTTAGAATTTTTGATACACATGCTGCATAAACTTGGCCTTATATGGGATAACATGAAATTCCACAAGTGAGAACACATGGATTTTCTTTTGCTCTGCTTTTTCTTTCCATCTAGGGGAAGATTTGTCAGTCTAATTTTCCTTACTGCCTTTTCTGTGGCTAGAAAGTGGAAAAGAAATGCCATGAGTGATCTCACTTAATAACAACCAGTCTTTCATGGCCTTTGTATCAGGCAGCTATGTGGAAAAGGAATTAAAAATCAGCATGTCTGTGAATCTTTCTTTTCTTCTAAATTAACCATATATTCCAATTTCATAAACAATTATTTCAGTCTCTTTACATCTCAAACACAGTATTGTTTATCATTATAGGATGCTTTGAACATAAAAGTATTAGGATGCCCCTTATTAGAGTGGCTTACTGCAGCTCCCTTTCTAATGAATTTTTTGCTTTATGACTTGCTGGCTGAGTTTGGGCTCTTGCTTTAAATCACACAATTGATTCAGTGTTCAAAGTCAGTTTATCAGACCGTATCTTCATGAAATTGCCTGCCAGCAGAGCAGCCGAGGCAATGAAAAATTAGGATGGAAAACAAAGTAACCTTGTTTTTATAAATTGTCAAACGTTTGGGCTTTGCTTCTGCAACCCTGAAACTCAGAAGGGCGGGGAGCTTCTGATGCCAGCCCAACAAAGCCGAAAACAATCCTCTGGAGTGGCACTGCTTCCTTCTGGAAGGGATGATGGACAGCCTGGGACTGGGGCAGCTTCTCTGATGGGTTTGTCACATGGCTGGCTCCCTTTTCCTAATTTTCCAGGGAGATGTCTGCAAATGCCTATGCTGTAAAATCATTCATTTTGTCAATGGAGTGCACAGGGAAGGTGTCAGGCCCCGGGACAGCCATTGCTGATGCTAGCAGCGATGCATGTGAGATTCTGCCTGTCATGTAAAACTATGGAGCAGCAGAAGACACTTTACAAGATATCACAGTTGAAGTGATGATGAAAGTCATTGTTGGAGAGGATGAGGTTATGGTGGATACTTCAGGAAAAATGTTTGTCTTCTCTCAGCTAGCCTAGTCTTACCTTGGTGAAGCAGAAATCGAGGGATGCCGCGAGAGAGACATTTAAAATTGTGCTGGGCACAGAGTGGAGGGTGGTTTGTACATCAGAGATCTGAATTCACAGAATCAGGGCTTCATTTAGGTTGGAAAAGACCTTTAAGATCATGGACTCCAATGATGAACCTAGCACTGCCAGCCCACCACAAAACCACATCCCCGGGTGTCACATCTATATGACTTTTAAATATCTCCAGGGATGGTGACCCAGTCACTTTCTTGGGTAGCCCGTTCCTAAAGTCAAGGGCAAAAGCTCACCTGTCCAGGGATCACACAAACATCTCATCACCTTGATAATCAAATTTATCTGCTTTTATTTTTCAGTGCACCAGTCACAGCAGTTCAGCAGGGCCAATCTTGGTACCACACATACCTCAGTGGTTTGTAGGCAGGGACAGAATCTGGCCCTTTAACAGAAGAAAATTCCATGATGTAAAATCTCTTGGTACTTATGGATTAAGAATTACCATGGTAAGTACTTCCTGAATGTGCAAGTGCTTAATTTGGGTACTTGCACAAAAAAACTTACACTGTGATGCAGTATAAACTTACAAATACTTGACTACGTGATGCTGCCAAAACAACTTGTAATTGGCCAGCAGAACAAAGAGTTAAATAAGTAACCAGGAAAATCCTGATTTTGAAAGAAATATCTAATTTCTACTTCTCATAGAAAAATATTCATATTAAATTTACATCAGATCTTTATACAAGTTTTAGGCACTTCTAAAAATACAAATATGAATTGATTTCCCTTCAAGATTTTGTTCTGGAAGTGCTAAATATTTGTGTGAAAACAAAGCAGCTTGACATTGAGCCAGGGAAACACAGTTTGCTCTAACTTCCCATGAATCTACGGTAACACAGACCAAATTTTGGTTTTAAATGAGGTAGTGCAGCCCCACTTGGAAGCAATTTGTTGTGACTACTAACAGAACTTGATTCTATAACCAGTGAACACTGCTGCACTGT